GAACGGGAGCGGGAGCGGGAGCGGGAGCGGGAGCGGGAGCGGGAGCGGGAGCGGGAGCGGGAGCAGGAGCAGGAGCAGGAGCAGGAGCAGCAGCAGTAGCAGCAACCCCAGTAGCAGTAGCAGAAGCAGTAGAAGTAGCAGGAGCAGGAGCATGAGCAGCAGCAGCAGTAGCAGTAGTAGTCATACTAATCGTACGAGACAGGCTAGTCATACTCGTCTTAGTAGTCATAGTGTCGTCCTCGTAGCAGTAGTAGTCGTCGTCGTAGTAGTAGTCGTAGTCGTAGTCGTAGTCGCAGTCGCAGTCGGAGTCGGAGTCGTAGTCGTAGTCGTAGTCGTAGTCGTAGTCGTAGTAGTAAGTAGTAGTAGTAAGCAGTAGCAGCAGCAGTAGCAGCAGCAGGAGGAGGAGGAGGAGCAGTAGTGGTAGTGGTAGTAGAAGTAGTAGTAGTAGTAGTAGTAGTAGTAGTAGTAGTAGTAGTGGTACTGCTACTGATGGTACGACGACGACGAGAATTTGGAATGATACGAGGAACAAAAGTGGTAATTGTACAAGTAGCGCCAGCAACAGTAAGGGAAACAATGATGACAATTGCTGCTTCTGATGCTGCTTCTGCTGCTAGTGTTGCTAGTTGTGATATTATATCTTGTCGCAGCAGTCACGCCATTACCTCTACGATAATGATCACCACTATCTTTAGCACCATAATCACCATCGTCACCGTCATCATGATAAGAGCAAAAGCACAGACTTCGTAGTTGTCATGTTTTGCCATGACTGGACCTTCGATCACAGCAACAATCTCGTCCTCACCATGCCCAAAAGTAATCAACAACAACTATTACAACTGTAAGATTATCACAAGAACCGATGGCTGTCATAACGCGAAACACTTGCAGTCACCATTGTAATAGTCCTGTTCAAGACCAAGAGGTATAGTATACAAGTACTGCAGAAAAAGTCATAATGAAATCTGTGAAAATGACGACGATATCCTGATCAAGGTGACGCGGTCGACGATGGTGACGGTGATGGGTTTTGATTGTGATGGTGTTGATGACAGCTGTCTAAAGGCATTTTTGTGAATGTGTTTACTTTATTGAGGGGACTCGAAGCTTCTGCTTGAATAGCTGCCCCTGTGAAAGGGCATACACGTTCTTAAACCTACGTCCGAAAGCTTAGCTGCTCTCTTGATCATGCTGGCTTCGTGGACTTTTTGCTGGCTCTATCCAAGAACCAAAATCGAGAATCAACCCGCCGGAGGCAGTCCAGTATGCAGAGGCGTTGTGGGACCCGAACTCAGTCGCTTTGTAAATGCCGGAAGATGGTTGCATGTATCTGTAGCACCGTTGTCATGGTGTTAATGTGATTGTAATACCGGCAACAGTATCGACAACTGTTCTTCTGGCTGTTGTTGCGGTTGATCGTGGTGGTGGCGGTGCAACTGCTATCTGGTCACTGTTGTGGTGGTGATTCTTGCGCTGCTCCTGCTGTTATTCGCAGTTGCCGTTGCCGTTGCTGCCGCAGAGGCGTGGGTCGGCAACTGCAGCTGCACTTGCTGTTGCTGTTCCTGCTATCACTGCGGCCCATGTTGGTGGTGACAGTGGTGCAGGTGGTGGTGATGGCAGTGGTTGTGCTCAGGGATGACTGGTCGCTGTCGCGCAACTCTCTCTGATCTTCCGAACCTGCTTCGCCCTTGTCAATCGCAAGGAAGACTGACCGCGTGGGCAGCAAAGAGTTGCACCGGAAAGCCTTCGTCTTACGATTTCAGCTGCGTGAGCCGGCGATTAACACAGAAAGCCCGCACCGGCTTGTCCGGGCCGCGTCTTTGAAAGGCCCAAGGGCCAAATCCACTACACACGAGTCGTGCCAAGAGCAGTCTCCTCAGCTCGCGCAACTGTCAGCCAATTCGAGCACAGCATGTGTTCAGTGTGGCAAGCTTTCACTCCAGACTCCAGACTATACATAACTCTGGCTGCATTGCTGTCTAGTCCCTGCGACAGGGAGTGCTTTACTTGTTTCCTTCTGCGTGTAGGGTAAGCCATGATTAGACCACCAGCCTTTCGAAAAGGACACTCAGAGTATGGAGTAAAAACTCAGCAGGACAAAGCCGCTGGAGTTTTTTGCACGGCTCGGCGATGTCTGACTTGCCGCTCCACATGGATCAGAGCATCCTCGCATTCGCGGGGCTCGGGGGAAGCGTGGTCTCAAGCGGATTTGTAGAACAAGTTGGTGACACAAAGTCATGGTCGGTGGCATAGGACTTGACTTCAGCTGCATGAGAATCCATGCGGAAGATGCCGGATGCGAGCAGGTCAGCAGCAGTGCCAATGGTAGAGAGGTCTAAGGCCTCAGAAGTGGAGCGGGGCTGCTTCTCACAAGCCGCAGCCCCCGCCTCTGCCGCGCTCTGCCGCAATAGTTCGCAATAATGCACAGTGGTTGACATCTTTCACCATGCATTCAGCTAGCTTTCTCCAAACTGCTTGAAGTGTTTGAAGAAGACTTCGCACGGAGCAGGCGGCTCGTTGTTTCAACCAGGATTCTGCAGGTGCCGGGCGCTCCCTTGCTGAGTTGGCACAACATCCCAACACAAAGAATCTCTCGACATCTCTTGACTACATGTTTTGCGATTCCATGAATCTTCCTGCTATCTGCGCTCTGAACTATCGCAGCTTCTGCGAGTCTGATTGTGCCGACTGAACACATTACATTCTGAAGTGGGACCTGCTTGCAGACATCAGAGCTAGAGGGACCTCAATCGGAGGCCTGGGCAATGTAACTGACTTTGTATAGATCTCTGTTGAACAGTCTGAGGCTCCTTGCCTTGGGGTCCCAACACTCACTCTCCAACTGCCGGAACCCTTTTCCAATCAGCAGACGCACCGGTCCAGCTCGACTGTTTCGACATATCCACTAGAAAGCATGACTTTGGTGGGCGGTCTGAGAGAGCACAGCCATCTGAGCTGCCTTTTAGTCGTGTGCGCGCCCTTTTTCAAGTCTGCAGACATGCCGACGCACCTGCGTCATCCAACAGGTGCTAGGATCCAAGTATGGCTTGCAGATACTGCAACCAGCAGAGACGATATCATCTCAGTAACCATTCGTGAGTTTCGTTTTTGTGGTTTTGCCTGCAAGCTGCTTGAAGCAAAGACCCTTGTTTGCCTTGCAAAACGCTTGCAGCGTGCATTTGCACCTGTATGCTGGCCGACCAGGCTGGTTCAGCAGTGGTTGAGAGCATGCCCTGCAGCCTTCAAAGCTTCGCACCACTTCCGGTGCTGGAAACCTGAAACGTGGAAGCTCCAGTCGGCCCCACGTGTGAGAAGCAGCTGCGAGGTGATGTTGAAGCCCGAAACACTGAGACGGGGCACCCAGAACGCGAGTTTTCATTTGAAACACCTTTGCTATCTACCCTGAACCGGCTCTAGCCCTCAACCTGTTGAATCCTAGACCCTGAAGCATCTGCCGCGGCTGCCCAAAGCATGGCGGCTCGTGAAGCTCGGCGGCAGTGGTTCTGGTCTGGGTGCTTCAGGGTGCAGGGTTTGGGATCGGTAAAGAAACAACACGACCTATCCTGGTCTTGGTGCGACATAAACAGCCAAGACGAGCGCCGTGACCCAAGTACTCATGCTCTCTTGAAATCTGTTGTCTTCTTTGGGATGTTTCGGCTGGGATCTTGCAGGCGATGCCCCTTGTGCTGGCCTTTCCAGGCCAGGGATGTCGTGTCGTCCGAAGCTCCACTGCTCGTATGACGGCTGCATGCCCGTCTGCAGGCGTGGCGTCCAGGGCAAACGTGAGCCTTGCGCCTCGCCGCCTACAGGACCGGTTGGCTGGCCTGCTGCCTGCGTTTCTGCGCTGTCTGGCGTGACCCGGAAGGATACATACACCTTCTTGACATCGCAGCTGAACTGCCAGATGTGCTGCGAGGCGCTCGCTGACTTCGTGACTTGCTTTAGAAGACTGCACCTCGTGCGCAGGAGGAGTGGCGGTCGTGCCTTTGCATGCTGAGTTGCGACATTTTCCAGGCGTCCCATTGCGGTTCGATGCGATATTTCCAGATTCCATGACCTGTCGCCGGAGCATCCTCCAACCTCTTTCTCTGCCCTCCTGATGCACAGCCAGTGCTTCAAGAGAGCTTTGCAAACTTAGAGACGAGCCAGCGCTTGGAGAGAAGCTCGGTGAAAGAGCATTCTGTGAACACGGCGAGTTGCCTTCGCGCTTTCCTAGTGGAGCCCATGCTTCGCGACGTTGCATGCAGGGCGAATGCGATGGTGTTGAGGAGGTGGAGACGTGCAACGTGGTGCGTGCCTGCTACAGGAGGCTCCTTTGAGGGAGGGAGCTTCACGTAGCACAGCGGAGCCTCGTCGGCTTTGAGAGATCTCGGCGCCGTAATCCCCCCATAATGCAAAAGAAACACTCCATGAAGCTGTCGAAGATTCATGAAAACGTCTCTTGTGCTGCCCTCCACATTTTTTGATTTTGCGTGGACATGGAACCCTTTCCGCAGGATCGACGATGCTTCCCCAAGAGGCTTCGACTTCGAGTGGCAATGTCGTTTAATGAAGGCTGGCCGTTTTGTGCGGTTTCGCTATGCTCTGCGTCACTGCGATGATGGGTGCAAGTTCTTGCAGTTGAGAACAGGTGCAAGGAAACCACTGGTGAATTGTTAAATGCACAGCAGAGTGCAACATCATTCGCAGAAAGCTGATCGTGCACTGTGCTTTCTGGCCCTGCAGTGCATCTCCTATTGCCTGAGGCACTCGGAGGCTGGAGCAAGGTGTTGAGAAGTTCTTAGAGTGTGTGGGGTTTCGGGTTCAGTGCTGAGCATTCAGGGGTCACTGGGCAGCTGCATGTTGTGGCACATGAGCGACTTGCTTGGCACATCGGAGACTTGAGAAGGTTTGTGAGCCAATCCGAAACGACTTCGTCGCACATCCCTCAGCCCATCTCAGCTCAGCCTGGTACCTCTCCTTCACAGATTCCCAGATATCACAGCCTGAGGCGGACTGCAACAGAGGCCGTGAGGGCGAACTTCAAGCGTGGCCGAAGCCCCGGGTGACAAATTGGTCGTGAGAAGCCGGCCTGCCAAGCGAACTTTGCATCTGGATCGTCACAACTTCTCAACTTCGTACTGTAGAAGTGTCAGCTGGCTGGTCATCTACCTGATAGGGTCAGGGCTGCTGTGTACCGATTGACTTGTCCACCGTTGATGCTGCGCAGTGATGTGGTGTGCTCACGGGTGCGGCCACGTGCGTTACTGCCCGGGCCCCATCATGACCGTCAGCGAATTCAGCAACGTTTGGAGTCGAAGTTCGTGCCGACCCGCAAACGGATCAAGAAGGCCGTGGACGCTTCTCGCCCTTCTGGTGATCGCCTGCACCGACTTCTCGCGGCACCCTCACCCGGTGCCAGAAGTGGGCGGCACGAGCTCCGGTGACAAGCGGACGCCAAGGTGGAGCTGCCCAATGAGCCGTTGCGACGACGCCACGGGACAAAGAGCCGTGAAATTTGGGAAGACGAAGCAGGGGGGGTATTTTTGCCGGCAGGGGACCAGATTCAGGTCTGGTGTCTTAAAATCTCGTTGCTCATGCCGCTGCTCCGCTCCCGAAGACAGGATGCTATTCCCAGAAAGACAGATAGACGTTTTGAAGACATAGAAGATGGGGATAGGTCCACTCATCTTCACCCGGGGCAAGCCGGGAGCTTCTAGCAGCTTCGCTTCGGCGTTTTGTTTCTCCTTAGAGCCATGTCGAGAGCTCGCAAGCGAGAAGATGGGGAAGGCTTCGAAGACGGCGCTGAAGCATCTCACGGCCGTTCTCTCAGGCTCGCTGTGCACATCCCTCGAGCCTCATGTGTCTCAGTGATTCTCAGTGTCTCTTTCCGCAGTTCCGCGTGCAGGCCTGGGGCGAAGCTTGAGATGGCCGGAGGCCCTGCGGCTCTTCCGGAAGAGCCAGGATCGTGGCCGTGGGGACACCGACGCTTGGGTCCATGAAGGGAGGCGGTTCGCGAAGCGCCCTTGGAGGGAAGCATCGAGACGGGTCAAAGCATGCGGCTGAGGCCCTTTGCAATTCTGTCATTCGGGCACTCGGAGAGGGAGGCTGCTGGGAGCAGGCACGGCCTGCGGAAAGCTTTGGCTTGGTCCCATTCTGGCTTTTGTCGCTGGACAGGCACGGCAAGTCTTTGCAGAAATGCAGAGAGGCATTGCGCCTCCTCCCGACATCATCAGCATCACAAGCTTGATCACTGCTTGCGAAAAAGGCCTGGGCTTTCTTCAGGTTGGTTGTTGTGCACTTAAGAGCTCAAGAACTCTTAGCTTTGACAGGCCGCAGATGGCAGTACGCAGTCCGTTTGGTGGCTCACGAGCTGAGCGGAGGCAGCGGAGGTCGGCCGGCAGCCGGCAGTCGGCATTCTTGCAGGTTTCAGTCTGACACAGGAAGCTTCGCCGGCTCGAGCCTCTGCAGCGCCTTGGTCAGCGCCTGTGCGGCCTGCCATCAATGGGAACAGGTCCTGGAAGGCACGAAGAGCTCCGAAGAAGCAGCGAGGCAGTGCTCTCACTCTGGGTCCGAGAGGCCTTCGAGCGATGCGCGGCCGGAACTGGTTGCCATCGCCCGTGGCCATCTCGGCCTCGCTGGCCGCCTGCTCCCGCTCATTGCACTGGCAGAGGGCTCTGGAGCTCCACGAGGCATACAAACTGGATGGAGGACAGCCCTGAATGCAAAGGAGCACGCACTCTTTCAAGTTCCGTGAATCGCCAGATGGTGTCAGGACCGGCAAACGAGGCAGTGTATGGGGCTGCTGTTCACGCCGCAGGGCATGGCCACCAGTGGCAAACTGCATTGCTTCTTCAGAGAGAGGCACGCCGGGGAGGCTGTGTCGATGTGTCAGCTCTAGGCAGCTTTTGAGATTCTGCCTCCGCTAGATGCTGTCTCTGTCCTGCCGGCCAAATATCGTGGTCAAGAACTCGCTGCTCAGCTCGCTCGCAAAGCTCGGGCACTGGCAGCTGGCCATGTGCGTCTTTGGAGAGATTGGCCCTTCCCAGCCGGATGTCAGGATCTAAGCATCACGGTTAGGCGATCCATGCAGGGCTTTTCTTGGGCAAACTCTCAGGTGATCTCTTTCAACACGGCCATGTCCGCCTGTGAGAGAGGATGGATGTGGACGGCAGCGCTGCAGCTGTTTGCACGCATGCGCAAGGAGTCGCTGTAGTCTTTAGTTACTATAGTCAGCAAATCCTCAGCGACGTCACTCCGCCAATTCCAAGCCGTTCTGAGAGGACCGGGTAAAGATCAGCAGCGTCAGTTGCAATGCGCTTCTCTCGGCGTTGGAGAAGGGCCAGCAATGGTCGCAGGCACAGGGCAGCCCGTGATCACATCACTCCGGGTTTCAGGCTTTCAGTGAGCCATGTTTTGTGCCAAGAGACTGGCTTGGGGTCTGAGCCATAGAAGGGCCGCTAGTTTGTGCTGGCCCTGCCAGGCCATCAGCTTCTTGGACCGCATGCAGCGGCGGCGCCTACACAACCAGGTGCAAGCAATTGCAAGATTTGGGCAAGCACAAGTCACCTGAGCTTGGCAGATCCAGTTCGAAACACTGGTCAATGTGCGGCAGGTGTCTTTCAACTGCGCGGCTTCAGCCTGTGAGAAGGCATTGCGATGGCGGACCGCGCTGCTTCTGCGAGGTCCCCGCCCGGATGCGGTGGCAGTGGCTGTGCAGCTCGGCCGCTGAGGGGAGAAGCATGGGCAGCGTGACTCGCTGCCCCCAAGGGTATTCAAAGGCAGCAAGCCCCACCCAAACCATTCGTATCCGCTGAGTTTCGTCGTCCACGATGGTGTTGAGGATTTTGCGACACGTATTTCCCGCACTGATGTGTAATTCTCTGAAAGGCTGTCCACACCCGGACTGAGCTGAGCCAAATCCGACCCCTGTATCGTGTTCTTGGAAATGATGCAAGATCTAGACCCTGAAGTTCTGGCCATGTCTGGGCCGACAAAAGGGACCATGTAGGCTTAGAGTTTGTCAGTGTCGCTAAGAAGCGAGGTCCATCAGCGCCTGCGAGATTCTCGGTTGAATGCAGGCTGGCATCGTGTGGAATAAACCAGCATTACTACATCGTAGAGTCTCAAACGCCAGACGCAAAACTCCCCAAGTCCAACACCCACAGGGGAGTTTCCGACAATTAGGGGTGCCGTATTGTGGGTCCTTATAATAAGGATCCTACTATTTAGGGTACTTTGTCAGGGTCCGCTATTTGCGGAAACCCCCATGTACACGCAGCCCTTCTAGCAACCCAAAGCCCTTAACCTATAAAGCCCTTAACAGCACCCCACCAAAGCTTATAAACACCACCATGAAGCGCAGTGAACAACCTTAAAACAAACAGCGGTATAGCCCTAAACCCTAAACCCTAAACCCTAAACCTGTAAGAACCCCCCCAGTCCCCCGAACCAAGCTGTACAGAACCCTTCTAGCAGCCTCGGAAAACCCCAGAGAACCCCCTAAACCCTAAACCTCAAACCCTACTACACCCTAAACCCTCAAAAAACCTAGAGAAGCCCCTAAACCCTAAACCCTAAACCCTAAAAAACCCCAGAGGAGCCCCTGAAGCCTAAACAGTACAAAACCCCAGAGAAGCCCCTAAACCCGAAACCCTGAAACCCTAAAAAACACCAGAGAAGCCATAAGCTCCCTTAGGAAAGGCTTGGCTTGGAAGCAGGCCTTGGGGCTGCTGAACACCGCGAGGTCGCAGGGTTTCTGTGGCGGTTTGGGGCTTGGGGCTTCAGCGATTTAGGGATTTAGGGATTTTGGGATTTAGGGATTTGGGGTTTGGGTTTTTTGGGAGTTTGGGGCTTTCGGGATTCAGACGGTTTAGAGGGTTAGGGGTCAGGGGCCAGATTTCGAGTGCCTTGACTATGGCTCGCATCCAGTTGCCTTCCGTACTCCGCAACCGGCTTGAGCAGGACTTGAGGGACACTGGCGGCTGCTTTTTGTTTTTCCTTTCTTGTTTGAATCGCCTTTGGCTTTGAGTGTAGGATCGATGGCACCGCAGACGTTGCCAGCTACATTGCTGCATTGGGCGCTGCAGAGAAGGCGACCAATGGGCTCAGGTTTTGGCCGCTGGGGTTGGCAATCTTAAACCCTAAACCCTAAACCCCAAACCCCTGAACCCCTGAACCCTAACTAAACCCTAAACGCCTAAACCCCTAAACCCTTAANNCCTTAAACCCTAAAACCCTAAACCGCCGAAGTGTTTGAGGCATTGCCTGCTCAAGCTGTATCTCTCCAGAGACTCCTGCCTGAAACCTCCACTCGCACGCGGAAGAGATTTTGTGGCGCGCTCATACTTGATTTGATGCTCTGTATGCACAGGTATATCTCATCATCATATGTATATCATGCAGCATTACATGTCCATGTACTAACATGTGACTACTTACATTTACCCATATACAGGTTCCCAAGTTCTCGGCTAGGCAGAGCGGAATTTGTGCATCTGTCTTATCGCTCAACATAGCGGCCTGTGATCCTCTTCATCCGTGGCCATTGTGGCCGAAGTGATCGCCAGCTAGAACCGCAAAGGTGTATGCGTATTTTTGTTTATTGTGGTAATATATCTCTGTTTCCGTAAAGGAACGAGGAAGTGCTGAGAGGGCACCACACCTGTTTACGAAGCCTTTGTGTGCACCAGGCTCAGCGGTGGCCTCATGCCCTCTGCGTGCTCCAACAGATGAGGCAGCGCCGGAAAGTCTGTGCAAACGAATATCCTCAACCGCCATATGCTGTAGTACGAAACAAGTGCACCACATGTACATGACAGGTTTTGGGACATGCATAGTCATGTAGTTGCTTACCATTTACCACATGTAAAATTGGCCAATCAGCCAACGCTATATATATATATATGTATATATATATATATGTATATATATATATATATGTATATATATATATACATATATATATATATATACATACATACATCCACAGCAACATGCAGCACCATATACTAT